GCTTTTGGTCTGAGGTATTTTTTTGATAAAACTTACGGTTTTCGAGAAAAACTCAAAAACCTGAAATTTTGACCTTTGACCCCGAATAACTTTTGAAGTGCTCATGGGACAGATTGGGACTTTCAAATTGTCATTTTTTATGGTAAAATAAAGGTCTTCACCAAAATTTAGCTCTGTCGCAATTTTTGTTAATTCAATATTGTAAAATGACCGGACTAGAGGTGCATTTCTGGATAAATTTGTACGTGAACAAACAAAATTGTCGAATTTAGGATGATAGCAATCCATATGAGATCGAAGAGCGTCCAATGAATTTCGAAAAAGGAACTATTTGATGTGGATTTTGGGCTTGCGGCCTTATGGGTCCGAATTTCTTTGAGAACGACGTTGGTTAGGCCATCACTGTCAACGGCGAGCACGATAGGTCGATGATTACCAACATCTTTTGGCTTGATGATCTGGACACCAACATGTGTTATCAACACATACAGCTCATGCCACAGCTCATGTTTATTTTTATTTTTTTAAAACGTATCTAATATGTCTATAATGGTTTTTAAAATAGTATTATCATCAACACGAAAAAACTACTTTTCGAGCCCTGCAGAAGAATTTAATTGAATTCGAAACGTCGGCAACAATACAATTTTTTTTAAGAAAAAATTGATTCTGTTACCCAACCAACCCCTTTTTCTGAAAAATTAGTAGATCACTAAAGTAGTTATTGGATATTATGTATGAGCGATTTGAGGGCATGGTCATCTCACGTGTAGGTGATGTGAACTTTGATACTTTTTCTTGGCGGTTTTTTTGAGATCGCAGGTGTATGCCAATAAGCAACAAACCACAGCGGTCCTCAAAGCCAACATAACCCATGCCATTGGTCAAATTCAGCCTGATTCAGCGCCAGAGTCATGGAATATTGGATGTTTCGGATGCGCTTCACCCAGAGAAGCCGTGTGGGCGTTTGAACGATGTTATATTCCACACATAATGGCATCACAAGGTCTTTATTGAAAATTTCGATGATATTTCATAAACAATTTGTTTTATTTGAATTCAAAGATAGGAAGCGCTTAATGAAAGTCCCTACACAATCAACACTAGTTTAAAGCAAGGTAAATTTCCGAACTGTATGAAATTAGGAATTATACAGCCTTTGTATAAGAATTGAAAGAAAAACAAGATTGAACATTACGGACCTCTAGTTTTTTTCATCGATTTTTGTGAAAAATTGATAGCCTAAAAACCTTCTCTATGAAAAATTACTTATACATGTCAAGTTTCATCACGATCGGTTGAGCGATGTAGAAGTTTATCACTAACCAACAAACATCCATTTTTATATATTAGACTAGTATTATGTTGCTGTATCGCTGCTGTTCCAATGTTTTGACAGAATCAGAATCAACGAACTTAAGCGTGCGCAACGTTATAGAACAGTGATTTCAAAAAATCGTTCTACAGCGCCATCTAGTGGCGAGTTACAGAAAAATTGATAACCTAAAAATCTTCTCTATGAAAAATTACTTATATATGTCAAGTTTCATCACGATCGGTTGGGCGATGTAGAAGTTTATCACTTACCAACCAACCAACCAACCAACTAACAAACATCGATTTTTATATATTAGAAGATATGTTACAGTATTGCAAGTGTCTCTACCTTTTTTTATATCATTCTAAATTGAGGCGAAGAACCCAAATAGGAAATTCAACACCATCCACTATTCCCACAGTAGAATCCAGCTTAATATCATCAAGGCGTCTGGTACTGATGAAGTGCCAGTCATCGTACTTAAAAAGTGCGCCAATGAACTCGCACCAGTATTTTGCAGATTTTTCAGCCTGTCTTACAACGAAGGGGTTTTTCCTTCATGTTGGAAGATTGCTCGTGTTCCTAAAAAGGGGTAGAAAAATCTTCCAAAGAACTATAGAACAGTTGCTTTGCTATCAGTGATATCAAAAATCATGGACGAAGCCGTAACCACCATATCCTTCGATATCTGGAAGGCTTTATCATCTTTTGCGATCATCAATATGACTTTCGGAAACAAAGAACAAATGGCGACCTTCTATCGTATGTCACCCATATTTGGAATAACGCAATCGAGAGACATGGAGAGTCAAGAGCTGTTGCGATTGATATTTCTAAGGCCTTTGACCGTGTGTGGCATGAGGGTTTGCTGACCTAACTTCGATGCTATGTCTTGTCAGATCACTTTTGTGTGTGACTCTCCAGCTTCCTGAAAAAACATTCCCTGCAAGTAGCTGTCGATGTCTCTCGAAAACTTTTACCATTAACGCCAACCCTCTTTATATTGTATATCGACGACTTATTGGAAAAAACGAAGAATTCAATATATTGTTTTGCTGACTACAGCACACTTGTCTCCTCATTCCACTTGGATTCCAGGATATCGGCTGTGGATGCACATTTCACCGGCAGCAGTAGGTTGCAAACCTTAAAGAGGATCTAGAGGTGATTTCAAATTGGGGCGATAGTAACCAGGTTCAATTCAATGCCACGAAAACCCAGGGATCGGTTTTCTCTAAAAGATAAATGTCTGCGAATCGGATATAATAGTGTCAGGACAGACAGTTCCGCTTTCTGCTTCGATAAATTTGTTGGGGGTTGAAATGAACACCAATATGTCACTGGAATTGCAAAAGCTGGGAGCAACTTTTGATGTTTTATGAAGCTTAAATCAGACCTTCTCTGCAGTAGAGGTCTCATGTATGGAGCTCCGCCACTAGGCATACCCTGAAGATGTTGGATTCTATCCAGAAAAGAGCCATCCGCGTGATTGAAGACGCGAACGTCACTTGCAACCTTGATATTTTGGAACATCGAAGGAAGGTTGGAGATTTGTCCCTCTTCTATAGATACTTTCACGGGAAGTGAAAGTGGCACATTTGATTCCAGCAAGAGCGGAGCATATCAGAATTTCGCAACGGACTGTGGCTGCTCATCATTCTGAGGTTCAACTCAGACCAGTTCAAACTTCACTGTTCAAGAACTCTTTCATTTGAAGAACTGCGTTTATGTGGAATAAACTTCCTGAGAACGTTTTTCCAAATGAAATTAATCTCCAGCGATTCAAATCCAACGTGAATTGCTACTTTCACACAGGCACCGCTCTTAGAGCGCCTTAAGTATGTTACTGTAGTGCTTGTGTTTTATTCATAAAAAAATAAATCTAGTTTTTGGCGAATATTTCAACCAACAACCACTGATTTTCTCGATCTGATAAAGGATTATTCTAGTTCCCCAAAATAGAAATTCAACCGACCTTGTAAGACTTACCGTTTTCGAAATAGCAATAGTGGGATCAACTAAAAAAACGGTCCGTATAATTCACTTCCGGATGACATCCAAGAGGTAAAATCGTATATATCCTTCAAATTCGAAGTGAAAAAATATTCGATGTTTTGATAGATCTTAAATTATTTTTTCAACCCAGTTATCAAACTGGCAGATACAACAAACTTACCCTGATTGGGCATACATGTACGAGACAAATTATTCGTATAATCACTACTTGATTTGACAATACAGGTAATCAATAAGACGAAGATAAAAATGTTAGTGAAACGAATAAAGGCAATATATTGGTTCAAAGTGTATTCTTCAAAATGATTATTTTTTTTTAATTTCAACTTAGTTAAATGTTTTACATGTATTTGTTCCCATTTATGTGTATTTCATTTTCTGAATTTTATTATTTCTATTTCATTTTTCATTTCAGATGGCTGATGTGATAGTCGACGTCGACAGCAAAAACCCCAAGGAACTTCTCGCTCAGGGCGTTAGGGCCTTCGTCCTCCAAGATTTCAACTCTGCTGTGACCGCTTTGAGTAAAGCTAGTGAACTTATGGTAGCTGAGCATGGTGATGATCTTCATGAATCGCTTGGTGATGTATACCTGTATTATGGAAAAGCTCTACTTGGATTGTCTAGAGAAGAAAATGAAGCACTAGGTAAATAACAGTACTGTTAAACCATAGTAAAAATCAACCAGTAAGTCCACTCCCACTACTTTCATTCATAAATTCACAAAGTTCTCGGCGACCTCGAAACGAAGTGCGAAGCCAATTTCGTTCTTTTACCATAGGCGTGCTCTCATATAAAAACGATATTAAAGGATATTGTAGAAGATTTTGTAGTAAATTACTTATAACCAACTACAAAAACTAAAAACAATAATAAAAAACAGCGAATAAACTAAACACAATATCAATTTCCGACCGTTTATTATAACTAATCCGATGCCCGTAGACCGTCGAATCCTTCGATACTACAGCACTGGTAAGATAGCCTACTGGTTGTATTATTATACTGTGGTTGAACCTTTGATTTTTTAATATTTGTTTAATTTGGTCATTATAAGAACACATCCTTGTAATGAATCCAATTGGATGTCTTAACTTCAATAACATTTTATAAATTGTAGAAAACATCGTAAAATTTCAAGAATACCTAGAACCACTAAAAGAAAATGATATTTCATCCAGGTTAGGTTAGGATAGGTTATGCTGACTTCTAAGAAAATTTTCAAAAATTTTACACGTAGGGATGATGGATCATTGAAAATTCTCAGCGGAATTCAGATACAAAATATTGTATGAATGATTAAAAAATGCTTTATGGGTATTTAGTGACGTTACTACAAATGATTATTGAACAATTTCAAAATAGGAATCTCTCTCGACTTCTCGTTTGAAATTGAAAGTTTAGTACATTCATACCAGTGCAGAAGCATGTTTTGAAAACAAAAAAAAAACAACATAAAAATTATTAAAGAAAATTGAAAATTTTGTGTTTATTATACGAAAATTATATTAAAGTGGATTCAAGTTTGGAGGGATAAAATAGCAGGTTGATTTTAGGGGTTAAAATGGTTTTCCACTGCAGCCAGACTTACTGAGAAAAGTTAAATACATGAATTGTAGGAAATATCAAGTTCTACGATTTTTGTCTGAATCGTTTCTCCATTATAACCTGAAATTGAAAAAAATGGAAATACCGATGTTTTTTCGTTTTTTACTTTTTCTTTTACAAAAATAATTTTTCAAATTGAAAGAGGTATATTTTTAGAATAGATTAATTTTTGAAAAAGAAAGTTTTGGCTTTCTACTTCTCCATCTTCATATAAAAAAAGAAGCTTCCTTACTTTGCTTCCTTTTTTTCTTTGGAAGATTCCCACATTTTTCTATATGAAGATGGAGAAGTAGAAACCCAAAAACTTTCTTTCTCAACAATAATTTATTTTTCACGTTGGAAAATTACTTTTTTGTATTCCTAATATTCTGTGATTTTTTTAACCGAAATATTCTGTCAAATCTACAAAAAATACCTCATTTTCAACCTGAGGTACACATATTCTGAAAATAGATTATTTCAAAATTAACCTGATATTAAATACTCGATAAAACAATTATTTTTGCATATATTTGCAATCTCATATTGCAACAACAATTGCTTGCCATTCCTTCATTTAAATTTTACATTTTTCAAGTATTTTATCTGAAAATTTCAAGTTTTTTTCAGTTATTCATGTTTTGTGAAAATTTTTTCTATAATTTTGTTACTTTTCTTTCATACTACCTGAACGAAAATTCAGCCAGAAAAATATTTTGAAAAAAACTGTTTTCAGAACATGGATATTTATAGATCTTCATATTACCTAGAGTTTTTTTAGTCAACTTTTCACGATAGGAGGTTTAGCTTCGCTGGAAATCATGAAGAACCATTTTTCATCCTTAAAATTCATCCAATTTCATCCCCAAGTACTTTGGATCAACTCTAATTTATTTTTACTGTAATAACACACTCAGCATATCAAATTAGAACACGGTTTGGTGCAATTTGTCAAATAAGCTGAGGGTTTGATTTTTTCCAGGTTTGTAAAACCACCTCCTCTTTAGGTTGCTTGCTCAAAGCAGAAAATGTCTCACTCATTCCAGATGGGTTCCATCTCTGTTGAAGGTTTGTTTCTCTATAACGGCAACCTTGAGCTTATTCTCTTCCTACGACTAGCGAATTCGTGGATAATTTTCATACTTACCTTCAAATCATGCACGCACTCTGGGAGAGACCCCTCATCAAGTTCTTGATCAAAAAGGCTGCTGAACACAAAGTCTGTTGTGTCATGTTGAGAATAGAAATCATTGTCTTTTTCCAAACATCTGATTCGAAGTTCTGATTCTTCATCAAGTGAATTTTTAGAGGCATTCCATACTTGGCAATCACACTACTCAAAAGCGTTTCCTAAAGAGCTCTCTCAAGTTTACAATCAGGTACTCCTTATTAAAACTGGTAGTACAAAATGTGCTAGTGAAACTGCTTGATGCATGATCTATGTAATATTCTCTGATAATTGAGTAATCTTGAAGGCATATTGAGTCCCATTCGAGCTGATATATCTTCACCGGTTGACCGTACTTTCAGATCTGCCACTTTTCCCCTATCATATTGAAGACTGTTCTGCACTGCCTGAGGACATGAAGTGGCTTGAAAAATATTTTCTACAAAGTCCATTTCTTTAATTTTCATTTGTCAAGACACATCTCTGGTTTGAAGTATGTTCGTCAAAAGTATTTCCCAAGATGAACCAAGTATGGCTTCCTAATTTTGAAGCACCAATTCGATTAGATGTTCAAATGTTGCAGGTGTGTTGCATAATCTGAAAGGCATAAACTAAAAATGATATAATCCGTTACTTTTAGATAAAATTCCAACTTGAAAAAGCACCAGCATTCAGTGTCAATAGTGAAATAACCTGGGTGGTCATTCGAAAACCAAGTTGGAGGTACGGTGAGAGCAAAGTAAACAACTCATCAAACTATGGTAGTTAACTATGCGCTAGTTTCTTCTTCTTTCCAATATCATATGCAACCTGAATCTCGTCATTAATGCCCCTTTTTGAAAATGTAGAATCATTTAGGCTGTCCTCTTAAGTCCTACGACATTTGTCAAATATTTCTTGTTCCTTCAGAGCTTTAATTTTTAAACTCGTGGGCAAGTCTTACTATTTTTCAATATCGGCTCAGATTTTCTGCTGAATCAGGTGACATACATCTAACTGAGCTGATCTTGCAAGCTTATCATTGGGTTTACTTGAAGTGTAAATTGAAGCTCACAACTTCACCAAAGATAGCATCATCAAAGATGAAAAATAAATTATTGCAGTTTCCATTAATGTCTTAGGAAAAATAGGGTTCTGTTTTTTTAAATTAACATATCAAACTTTTCTTTCCTTCAGGTGATGCAGTGCCAAGAAATAACGACGAAGAATCTGATGAGGATGGCGATGGAGGTGATGAACCAGAAGAAGATGGCGAGGAAAACGATGAGGCCTCAGAAAATGTGGAAACTGAAGAAAATGGCACTGCTAAAGAAAGTGCAGTGGCAACAGAGAATGAAAAAATGGACATTGCAGAGGAAAGTAGCAAAAAAACTGAAGTAAAAGAGGGTGCTACTGAAGTTGCAACTAATGGAACATTTGAGGTTGAAGCTTCAGGTAAGAGTTAATAATCTGTTGGTAATCAAAATCTGCACCTATAAAAATTTGAACCTGTAGGAGCATGATATACTAAGTAATAATACTGAATGCTTTCTTGGAATATCTCTTTCCACAAACAAATTATTTTATTCATTATTCTATTATTATTATTTGCGGTAATCTCGCAAAAATTAAACTGTTGCTTCCTATAAACTTACTGATATCCCTTGACCTTCGAACAACCAAAGTAGTTGTTATGTCATGTCAGGGAAGCTTCCTGCTTGTCTCATTCGATTGATGAATTGGTTTTTGTTGGATCTTGATTGTATGATATATTTGCAAACATAGATTTTCATCGCTGCAATTGGTTGAATTCCTTTAATTATATTTTAGAAAGGGGCATATTTTTTAAACGGTTTTATTTAGTTTGCCCTGTTTGTTTGGGTCAATTTTAGAAATTGAAGTTTGATACCCCTTCCTGTTGACAAATTGCTTTGATATTTGGTACACACATTTAGTTTTGATGACAATACAATTTAATGAATTCTGTATCATTGGAAATCAAAGATGGCCACAGCTACAAAATGGCGGATTACATATTTCTTCACAACTACATTAATATGGGTATCAAATGACAGGACTTGACTAGTACTTTGTTAGTATACTATAAAAAAGATGCAAATCCAATATACAGAGTGCAACAGATTGTTTACTCTGGAAGTCACATTTTGGAAATGACATCTGACTTTATACCTCCAACTGTCAAATACACTGCCTTATAAAGTACTGTTCCCGAGTAGGGAGTACTGGATCCTCCGGGAGAAGGAAATATGAAGAGCAGATAGTTGTTGGTTCACAGATGGATCAAAAACACCTTCCTGTTCTGGTGCTGGTGTTTTCAGTCGCAGACCCAGGACAGATAACAACCTGCATACACAAGTCAATAATAATATTCTCGGACAGTCAAGCGGCGTTGGAAGAAGCTCTTTGCTCCTACTGAGCAACAACTAAATTAGTAGAAAATTGCCAAAAATGACTCTCCTCGATAGAAATACTTAACAGATTGTCGTTGGTCTGGATTCCTGGCCATACTGGCCTGAAAGGCAATGAGGCTGCTGACTTCCTTGCAAAGGAGTGTGCCCTCAATCAGCTTAATTGGATCAGAACCTGTCAAAGGCATCGCTTTAGGCTTTGCTTAAACAAACATTGAACGCCTGGATGGCAAGAAGATTTATGGACTCCTGGCAGAATATTCCAGGATTGGCTCACTCCAAGGCGTTTACTTCCCCTTCGAAGCTGAATACCAAACAGTTGTTGGATTACAGTAGGGATGAACAACGATATCTAACAGGCCTTCTTACAGGTCACTGTCATTTGAAAGATCATATGCATAGACTCGGACTGTCGAAAGAGAGTGTGTGTCGCCTCTGTTTGGAAAATGATGAAACAGCAGGGCACATACTTTGTGCCTGCCCTGCTGGTGACCGAATCAGGTTTTTAGAGTTTGGCAGAGCCGTACTCTTATCATCTGACCTGAAAGACCACTCACCATACAAAGTAAACGGCTTCGTTGAGAAGCTGGGTTTATTTGGTCGAGTGTGAATAGGTGTGAGCCACAATAAACCCTTGCGGGTTGCGTTGGAGGTCACTTTGGACCTAACGTAACCTATAAAAATGCTATATCATCAATTCCAAAGGTTCAAAACTCAAAAAACGTATTAATCTGGAGACCTGTCAACAGGTTTACAGTATGTATAAAAAAGGGATGTTAAATGCAACCTTATATTGTACAAAGAAAAATTATGTGATTAGTTTTGTTTACAAATTTCTCTTTGTTGCTCTCCTGATCAGAATATACTGGCGAAAGACTTACTCCCAGAGCTCCAGTATTGTGTGAGACAAGACCTTGTTATCCTAGACCTGAGTATGCCTATTTCCATGGAGAAATGGTCATGAGACGATTGTGGGGTCTTGCTGTGTGTGTATGTTTATGCAACTGGCTTGCTCTGTCTCATAAATATTCTCCTGATTTATTTATTGTGAGAAGCAAATATCAAACAACAATAGAAAAAGCATGTGCTATATCTATATACAAGGTCGACAAATATGATTGTGTTAGTAATGATATACTCATATCAGATAAATAATTCTCCAAATTTTTCAAATACTAAAAAAGAGATTGATAACATTTCTCAACAAAAATCGTATAATAACAGAAAGTCATTTAGCTTCATACATGATAATTCAAATGTTAAATGTGGAGTGATTAATCCCATTGAAAAAACATTGATAGCTTTCAATAGATTGGAAAATCATTTTTCTAAATATTGTCAAGGCTCTTGTCATAGTTTGCCATAGCAAGATCTTAGAAAAACTGAATTGATACAGGATACGAGAATCAATGCTGTCACTGATCCAGGACTATTCTACACAAAAAAATGAAAAAAGACCAACCGATGAGCAGAAGTGAAAGTTGCAACTCCTCAAGGTCCTATATTTAGGCCAGGCCTGTTTTTAATGAACATCAATAAGGTATATCAACAAATTCAATGAACATCTCATCTTTTATGCCGATGACACTGCTATTCTTGTTAAGAGAGATCCACAATAAAGCAATTGTTCTGAACCTATCCCTGAGTTGATGAAGCAGTTCTTCTCTTAACTTCTCGGATGGTCCCTCAATGAAAGTTTTCCGTGTGTGTTCCTGGGTATATTTTCCCAGTACTCTTCATTTTTCTTCTAGACCCACTTCCCAGTCTGGTTCTGTACCTTAGCTGGTTCAAGGCAGGCCTATAAAGGAGTCGATGATCCATGTCAGCACACTCGTCACTTTTTTCGTTGCGTGATACCTGAGTTTCCTGGTACCCAGTATAGAGTCAATCTATTTCTATTTGTCAGATTACTCAGTTCTTGATGGCCTGGATGACAGGCTATAGTACCAAACGTTTCGTTTGCTACTGCGGTAGATATCTTCAGTGGTCCATACGGTGACTTCGAGATACTACCTTCGTCATCGCAGTCAACGAATGATACACTGAAGATGTCTACCGCAGTAGCGAATAAAACGTTTGGTCATATGCGTTCCATTCGACGACGACTTGTCAGTCTGGATTTTGTTCCCTCTCATCGTGACTCTGGCCATAAAAGCCTGTAATTTTATGGAATTCTTAGTTAAAAAATAATTTTTTCCAGGTTCCTCTGGGCCTTCTGGCGATTCTGAAAATAAAACCGAAAATGATGAAGAACCAACGGACCTGCAGGTAGCTTGGGAAGTTTTGGAGTTGGCAAAGAAAATTTTTGAAAAGATGGGAGATAATGGCAAGAAACATCTTGCTGAAACTCTTACGGTTCTGGGTGAAATTTCACTAGAAAGCGAAAATTTTGAGGCGGCCATTAATGACATAAAAGATGGTTTGCATATTCAAACAGAAATATTTGAAAAAGATAGTCGTACTGTAGCAGAAACTTACTATAAGTTGGGCATAGCCTATTCCACTAATTCTCAAATCGAGGAAGCCATTGCAAATTTCAAAAATTCTTTGGTGTATCTGCAGCACAGGATTGAAAATTTGGAAAAGAAAGAAGATAAAAAAGATGGTATAAAAGAGGAAATTGAGGAAATAAAAAGTCTTATCCCTGATATTGAAGAAAAAATTGCGGATATGAAGACCTACAAAGATGAGGTATGTCAATGTGATATAAGAACAACTATTAAAAACTTTGTCAGCAAACCAACATTCAGTTCGATTAGTGACAATACAGTTAATAAATTACAAGTGAAAAGAAAGCCTACTGTTGAGGAGGTTATGGAGAAAATTACCATTTAATGTTATTTATTGAGGTTATGTTGATTGAGACTGACGTTTTTCTGCGATATGGCTTTATTTTTATACTTTTGTATTTTTGAAAATTACTTTTGTAATAAAAATTGTTCAACTGATAGGCATTTATTTTTTTTACTACCCCAGGTTAATTTTACTACTGGTTGTTCAAGAAGTAAACATGGTAAACTACTGTTATCTAACAAAATATTTTTTAGCAGAATGATAATTACTCCAAAAGTCACAGAATCACCGATTTTTTCGAACCTTCTCCTCATCTCTGCGTTCTATCATATTTTGCTTTTTCAAAAAGTTGTCCGACTTTCTTTGTGAATATGAAATATCTTCGTATAGTTGATTAGAGTTTTAGATTACAGATTAGTTGAAGTCAAACTCTCAACGTCTGAACTTTTCATGTTGAAAGTTATCAATCATAAGTGAATATATTTGTAGCAAATCATGGAATGTTTGGGCTATACATTGTTTAAATTTTTAGGCACTCAAAAAAATTGTATCTGCTGTAACGGAAGCAAAACCACTCGGAGAGTCATCAACTTCTGAAGCAAGCTCTTCCAAACCTGTCACGAATATCTCACATCTCGTTAAAAGAAAAAGAAAACTTGATGAAATAACAGACGAGAAAGAGAGCGTAGATGACAGACCCGCTAAGAAATAGTGTTTTAGTTTCATGTCTTTTCAAATCATTATAATCATTTCTGGGATATTTCCTTCAGTACAAGAAGTATTTTCAGTTGTGTATTATTTATTGGATGTGAGATTTTACTTGATACTTTTAATGACCACAATAAAACCACTTTTTCATTTTTACAGTTGTATTTTGTTGGACCTTCACAAAATGTTTCAATTTATTGGCTCGTATAGTTCTTTTTTAAAACAACAGACTCAGGTATTCTCAAAGAAGAATTCCGGTCTTTTCGTCGATCCATCAAAACAAAAATCAATTTAGCATAAAGAGGAATCTGAAATCTGAAATACATTGGCACAATTTGTTGAGAGAGCATATTCTCCACCCCTACAATCATATGAACACACGAATGTTACCTCAAACAATCCTATCATTTCTATAAAACATTTTTCAATATTTGAAATCTGCAATTCTCTCAACAAACTAAAACCAAAACTCACAAACGGAGATAAGATACCTAGCTTTTTCGTTAAAGATTGTGCACATATCCTACCCATACCACTACAGTCAATCTTCAATCTAGCACTGAGTACAGGATGCTTTCCTAACAAATGGAAAGTATACAATTTTTTCCCAATTTTCAAAGCTGGTGCCATAAACAATATCCAAAACTACCGACCAATAACCCTGACATGCAACTTTGCAAAGGCTTTTGAGATGTGCTTATACAACAGAATAGTTCCTGATGTTAAGAATTTAATTTCAAACAATCAACACGGTTTCTTTAGTGAAAGATTAACAATAACTAACTTAATGTGCTTCACACAATTAGTAAGTAATGTACTTAATAATAACCTACAAGTAGATACTGTCTACACAGATTTTTCGAAGGCGTTTGACAAGTTGGATCATAACATTCTTATCAATAAACTTCACCGATATGGATTCGACTCTCAACTCTTGAACCTTTTCAGCTCATACTTAACTGAACGTATCCTATTTGTAGATTATAGAGGTCACAAGTCGTTCCAATTTATTGCTAACAGTGGTGCCCCTCAAGAAAGCAATTTAGCACTTCTTTTATTCTCACTCTTCATTAACGACATTACTCTTTGCAGAAGAGAAAAACTCTGAAATCATTGGTGGTGTTGAACATTCACCTTTAATTAGTTGTTGACTAGTTAAATAATCAGGTAATTTTGTTTCAGTTATTCCTAAAATTTCCTCTCTCAAAATAGCAGCAGCTGCTTGCAAGGTATCTTGGTCTTTCAGGTGCGCAAATAATGAGTCATCAATAGTTGAAACGCCTTTAGGAGCAACAACTTTTTTTTTGTTTGACATCAAAATTTGAATATTTTCATTAAATTTCTTGTGATTTTTTTCTTGTAAATAATGCGCGGTAAATATTGATGCTGCATCGGAGCCTTCACTCAATTCTTTAAACATATCGAGATACTCTTTATGCAAATATGACAAAAAATAACAACGTCCCCGTTTTATGACATTCTCCTCAATTAAATTACAAATTTCTCTATAAACGGTTTCATGTGTCTCTGAGAGATATGCCATGAAATACGGAAAGGACTTTTCACCAGTGACCGTTTGTGATTTCTAAAATTTTGTCGACAAACATCATGATAGTATACTTCATCAGAGGCAACACTTTGTATTTTTATCAAAGTTTCATTGTGAATTTCAGAATCTGGTTCCAACTTTGATAAGATATTTATTTGAAATTGATTTTTTTT